TGAGAACCTCCATCTTTATTTGAGAACATTAGTTTTAGACTGGTCTGGTTGTCCTTATTCAGAGGTGCTACATTTTAATTTTAATTTAATTTTTTATTTTAATAAAAAATAAATTCATGTTTTTACACTTAATTGTTAAAAAATAATCACTGTTTGTTTTTATAGTCATGAGGTTCTATTCCTAAATAGGTAGGGGAATTGAAAAGGAAAAACCTGGGTACTCAACAGGGTAAAACTGGGGGGGCCAGATAATTTCGGGGGGCATGCCCCCCTCTCCGCCCCACCCCTGCTGGCGCCCCTGGATAAGACCTTCTACCCCAAATATCCTCATAACCAGTTTTTTTTTTTATATTCTGTACGTTCTTCTCCTTGCAGACTAAACTTTTGACTCAGTATGTTCTCAACTTGGCCAAATACGACCAGAACTACGACATCCGTGACCGGGCACGCTTCGTTCGTCAGCTCATTGTACCCACTGAAAAGAGTGGAGCCCTCAGCAAGTACGCTAAAAAGCTGTTCCTGGCCCTCAAACCAGCGCCGGTTCTTGAGTCTCCATTCAAAGGTACAGGAGCTGGCCTGGCTTGATCACCGAAACGATTGCTGTTATATTTTTTAAAGATGGAATTAAAACAAAATATTTACATTCTGAGTTGATGATACAGATTAGTAATTGGGTCTTGGATTACCATAAATGTTTTGTTTTTTTTTGCGTTTCTGCGTTGTTTTAGTTTTAAATAGGTTTTAATTTATTTACAAAACAATAAGTCAAAGTGGCTTGTGTACACATCTCTCCAGGTTTTCTATTTTTAAACTTGTCACTTTATGTTTTTGCAGATCGAGACCATTTCCAGTTGGGCTCTCTCTCCCACCTGCTCAATGCCAAAGCTGGTGGCTACCAGGAGTTGCCTGAGTGGCCTGAAGCAGCCCCTGACCCCTCCGTGCGCAACGTGGAGGTGAAGGAGTCTGTGCGTGCAGTGGGAACAGTAACATACAGACACAGGGGACCCCTGGATCCTCCAGGGGGCTTGATAAATGGAGTGGAGCAAGGGTTGCTCCTCCCTCAGAGCAGGGCCTCAGAGGGGTTGGACCGAGTCACATGAGCTTCACTTCTAAGTTACTGACTGCAGAACAGAATGGGCTCTTCTGTCACTGACACCATCATTTGTTCCATCATTGCTTCTTAACATGAATGGCTCCTCAGCAACATACAGTACACCCAGTTTGGTTTACAGCTAAATGAATCCTGCTGAAAAGCTTCCAACTCCTCTGAGGAGACTTAAAAACAAGCATGATGGTGAAAACAGTCAGTAGCTGTGAGCTCCGCTCGTCCTCTCTGCTGCTCTTACTTCTGATGGGCAGAAAGTCACTCGTTCCATCCATATTATGTCTCACATATGTTTGAACCAATAGCACATGAAAGAAGAGGAGGACATCCTCAGTAATTATAAATATAACCAAGCCAAAAGCATTTCTTCTCACCACAAATTCGTTTCCACTATCAATATTCCCACATTTTCAAATAGAAACACAGTTAGTGTGTTTTTATGCACTTGACCCACTCACATATTGCATTACATCAGGGGTGGGCCGTCCTGGTCCTGGGGGGCCGCAGTCCTACATGTTTTACATGTTTCCTGCTCCAACACACCTGATTCAGTCACTGAACTACTTCTTCATGTTCTGCAGTATGGAGGAC